CGCACCGCTGGACCTCACTGAACGACTGCATTCTGAATCTGGATACTAGGTGTCACGACATCCCAGACAGCTCCGCCATCGGGACGCGGTGACGGCGCCACCTTCCCACGACGTCCTCTTCGACCACATGGCCAACGACGTGCGCACGTTCTGTGCCGTTACAGCCGATGACCAACGCAGAATGGTCAGAGCTTACTCCGCGAGGATGGATCATGCCGGTCCTCTCCCTGGATGCGGCTCCTTCGGTCGCCGGGGCCCTGCGTTCCCTGCCACGGAGCGCGTTCGGCTCGAAGACATCCCGACCATTGGCTCTTCCCCACCCCCGACGAATGCAGAGACCTGGGCGCCGTGTCTGCGGTGGCCTTCTGCGTGGCCGATGGCTCCACGCGCGCAGTCGAAGCCAAAAGCATCCGCAGCTGCGTCTCCATCGGCGCCTCCACGAGGCTACACCTGCACCCAGAGCTCACACATACCATGCCGGACGGTGGCCACGAGACCTTCCTCTGCGAGAGTTGCGCGCGGCCGCTGTCGAATCCGGCGGCCGCTCCGCCTCCGCGATCCTTGGCTTCGGGGCGGGATTTCGGGGTGCTTTCTCGGATCGGGCTCGAGGCTCCGAGGCTGATGCCCTTGCCCTCGCAGACGTCCGCCTCTACAGCCTCGCGGCCAAAATCCATGTCCCTGGGCAGCGCTCCAGCGCAGCATCTAGGTCTGTCCTCAAGGGCCACGTGATTGCATTCGTCCACGACGGGCCCACCGCCATCGAAGATCAGTTCAACGCCGCCCGGCTGCGCAATGCATTGGAGCACATCCAGGTGGTCTACGTCGGCGACGCCAACCGAGTCACCAACATCGAACGCCGCGCTCTTTCCATGAAGAGCGCGCAGATGAGACCCCACGTGCTCTACAACCACCTCTCGCTACGCCGCGCCCTCGGACACGTGCCCCCCACTGACGCATCCCCTCCGATTGCGGACGTCGCAGCCTTGCTGGCTGACTGGTTTTCTTCTCTATCAGCTCGCTCCCGTCACGCGGACGCAGACGACGTCGAAGAGGCCAGCCGGCCATCGGATATCGCCAACGTCAGGGGCGTCGCCATGGACGACCTCCACCAGGACGCCTCCACTCTTCCACCGAACCTGCGCGTTCATTCTTCATTGGCCGCCCGAGCCCCTCCCCCGGGGGCGGCGAACAAAAACGCGCCCTCCTGCTCCCCGCTTCTTCGAGCCCCCGCCCGACTTCGGAATCTAAGACGCCCGCGGCGAATCACCGCCGCCCCCTGCCATTTTAGAAGCGCCTATGTGGCCGAACGTTGAGGCCAGAGGCCTGCCGAGCTATCCGACTATGTAATCCCCGAATCGGTTTGGAAAGCCTTCGGGGAACGCGGGGGCATCTTGAAGGCCATCTTGGCCGTCTTGGGGGCCTCGTTGGCGATCGATCTTTCGGCGATCTTTGGGGGCTCTGGGGCCGTCTCGGGCCGCCGGAAGGCGGAAAAAAAGGAAATGTCACAATCCGTCGAACACCTGCGGAAAATAAAAGTTTTTCGCATATTCCCTCCTTCGTCGAAGCCCTCTTGGGGGGCCTCTTGGGCCGTTTTGGGCCAGCTTCGAGCCAACTTCGGCCATCTTGGTGGGTTCCTGGCACGTCTGACGCCGTCGGGGGCCGTCTTGGGGGCCTTTCTGGGCCAACGGGGGACCCTCTTGGGGCGCTTCGGGGCCGTCTTGGAGGCCATCTTGGGCGTCTTGGAGGCCATCTTTGGCGTGTTGGAGGCCTCCTGGGCCGTCTTGGAGCGCTTTTGAGGCCTACTTGGAGGCCACTTGGGCTGTCGTGGGGCCCTCTTGGGGGCCTCTTGGGCGATCTTGGGGGCCTCTTGGGCCGTCTTGAGCCGTCGGAATGCGGAGAAGAAGCAAATCCCACAATCCTTCAACAAAAACTTACGGACATCAATGATTTGGGCCTCTTCGGGCCCCCCTGAAGAAACTCTTGCAGGCCTCTCGGGCCGTCTGGGAGGCCTGCGCAGTTTCGCCCCTTGCCCTGCGCAGAGGTCCCCGACGCGTGCGCGCGCAGATTCGGTGGAATTGTCATCCACAGGACACCGTCGTCGGACAATCTGCCGAGCCCCAGGGCGACATTCACGCAGAGCCCACGGTGTCCTTGGACCCAGTTGGCGTCTTCTTACAATCCAGCGACGCTGTGGCTGGCAGTATCTCTGATGGTCTCGCGGGCACCCTTCGAGCGTCCAGCCGCGCCGGCCCCGAGGACATCCACGACGAACGCCAAGAGCAACCGGATGCCACCCGCGCTGGCCCACCCTCTCACGCCTCCGCCTGCGGCCCGCCACCCGCGAAGTGCCGACGACTGAAGCGCCCCGTGGGCGAGTTCACCAACAACGCCGACTTGCTATACGGCGCCTTCTGGTTCCTCTTTCCATTGCGGGCCGGCTTGGTTTCCCAGGCCCCCTTGGGCATGCGCGAGTCTAGACGCATGCTCACCCAATTCCACAGCGGCTTCGCACATTGCCGCAATTTCATATTCCTGCTTGCGAACCAAATGCAACGCCGCGCTGCTGCCAGGGGGGTCGCTCTTCGCGTGAAGACGGACCCTTTCAGCTTCAAAACTTTCGCAGACATGATCGCCGACAAAGATGTCTACCTCGACCGACTAGGCCGTGCGAAGGCAGATCCCACCAGTAAAGAGGCCCGGGCGCTACTGAAGCAAGTGCCCCGGTTCGCGGCGTTATCTGGTAAGACCATCCCCTGGGGCGGTGAGGGGCGAGCTTCTGAGATCACCGAGCTCTATGCTTTACAAAGGAGATTCGGCCCCTTCAGCTCCTTCATGACCGTGGCCTTGGACGACGCGCACCAGCCTACCTCTATCCGCTTGCCTTATCGGCACACGGGAGACCCTAAAGGAGCTACCGCGCTCTTGACATCCCCCCCCCCTGCCCCCTCACGGCCCTTTCACCCTGCGACTTCCTGCATGGGACCTCGGGCCTCGGGTTTTCGCTCCGTTTCCTAAGTTTGGCCCTGCAATTTAATTGTTCAAAGGGGAACTCAGATGCCAGCCTTCTCTGATGCCCCCGAGAGTGCCCAGGCCCCCAGCTCTCAAACGATTTCCATAATTTCGGGCTGGCCGCTTCATCCAGGTGCGAGTCATAAATCTAAGTGCGGGTCCTCTCCCACGAACCCATCAGGCGCGGCAAGCCGCACCTGTGGCCCGCAGACGAAACTGGCCTACTGCGCGTCCTTCGCAAAGAAGGCGCCGAGGAGGGCGTCTCCGCGTTCTCCGAGAAGTCCACGCCGCGCGGCGCGGACGAGTCGTACACGTTTTCCATGGGCGAGGCATTCCTGCAGCGCTTGGCGACTCTCGATCCCGTGGCAACCGCGTTGCTGCGGGAACAGATGGCGGAGGCTATCTTCACGGAGCTCGCGGGCATGCCGCCGCACCGCAAACGGATGACGTCGCAGCTGATCGACGAGAACAGCCCCCATCGCGGCATCTTCAGAACCCAGTGTGCCTGGCATTTCGCGACCGAAACAAACGGCCGCAAGTCCTTCCACTTCCACGCCGATGTCATCGCAGGGGCCTCTCCTACATTGTTGGCCGACGTGGCTGGGCACCCACGCTTGGAGGCCGCGGTGCGCGCAGCCCTGGACTCACTGTATACGGCCCACGTGCCCGCCGACTTGCACGCCATCGACGTGGCCCGCCGGACTCTGCGCGCGCCAGCGGAGCGTCAGACTTTCTTCCAGACCACCGACACGCCCACCCCGGAAGCCGTCCGAGAGTTCCACGCGGATGCCGCCATCGCAGCTCTTACCACTGGACTACATACACACGCGGACACTGCCACAAAGGCAAAAATGGCAAGGTCGGGCGCCGCATGGCGAAACCCTCTGGACACCCCGTCCCCCAGTCTCGCGTTCTCGCAATCCTCCCCGACGAACCCGCGCAGGGCACCGTGGAGTGGTCTTGCAAATACTGCAACCCAGGATACGACCCGAAACAACGACCAACGACTGCACTTTGGGCTTGCAGGCCTCGACCTGGTGATGGGGCTGCCAACGTCGTCCTCTCCTACGAGCGCGCTCGCCCACACGTGGAACCCGATGCAGGCCCCTTGCGCGACATCATGAACATGCCCCGCGCCGGCTCAGAGTTGCTGGACCCCTCTGCGGCGCGCGAGATGTTCCGGGGCGCATGCCGCGAACTCAGCAGCCTTCTGTCCAGACCTACTCAAGGCCGCAATTTGAACGACTGCCTCAACGCATGTAATGACGACGACGCTCGCGCCATCCTTCTCGCTTGGAACGGCATGCGATGCCGAAATGCGGCCCTCGTGGAGTTCAGCCCCACCCTCTCGGGACGCGTCCGGAACAACACCGCGCCCCTGCACCTCGGAGCCGGGGAGGCCGCGAAAGGGGCCTGCATGTACATGGTGAAGTACCTCGTCAAAGAAGCTTACGAGCTGGCAGCCTCGTTGTCCGCATTGGCGGACGCTCGCCGTCACATTGAGCTCTACCCGTCCTCGGCTGACGACGCAGGCGCCGCAGCACGGTGCACGCGCCACTTCCTACAACGAGTTCTCAATTCCAGAGCCGCCGAGCTTGCCCCGACACAGGCGGCTGCGATCGCTCTCGGCGTCGCGCCCAGCGGACATTCTCACGCATGCGTCAATGCCTGCGTGTGGGACGCCGTCCACCTCAGACGTCTTTTGCCCTCCGGTGTCTCCCTGCTGTCAGCTTCTTCCTCGGACCTCCACCCGCCCGCTCCCGATCCGCCCGACGACGGGGAGTCGCCCTTGGACCAGCGATATGCCGACGCATGCACTGGCGACCCAGACGAAGTCGACGCGGCAGACGAGTGCGACCATCCGCGCCGAGGCACCTGCAGTATCTACGCCACGTCGGGCGGCGCGCAGTTTGCATTATCGCAGGCTGACCACTGCGCGCGCCGGTCCAAACAACTAGCCGACCTCACCTTCGACGAGTTCGTCATGGGGATGCGCGCCCAGAAAGTTTCCGCGGAACAGCGGGCAAAGATAGCCGTCGAATCGGGCAAGAGGGGCCGCCCTACGAACCCGAGCTTCGAACTCGAACCGCCGCGCCTTTTGGCGGGCCAGTACGTCATCAAAGAAATGTCCAAATTCGACGTGCCGGTCTGTGTCGGAGCTCCTCCGCCGCGTCTGCCCCCCGATCCCGCCCCGCGCAGCAAGACGCGCCAGCGTATGCAGCTGGCCCACGCTGGGTGCTTCGCTGCGCTGTTCGTACCTTAGTCTGCGACCCATGTGGAACCTGCGACCCCGACCACATGGAGCGATTATCATCGCCGCCTGGAAGACGCGGCAGGGGGCTCCGCGTCTCTTGCATCCGACTCCGTGCGGCACGGGAAAACTCAGAGAATCGCGGAGGGCCGCTTGTTCCGCATCCACCACGTAGCGACAGCCCTCACGTCGAATACTCGCAATACCGATATTATGAGCAAGTGGCGCATGCGAGATCGTGCTTTCTGGTCCGAAACGACCCTCTGTCCAGAGATAGAACGCCCCCCTGGCCGCAGCAAGGATCAGGAGACCGACGCCGATGCAGACATCCGCAACTTACGCGACGCTGCCAGCACCGACGTGAACTCCAGAGCCATGAAGCGAGCTGCTGCAATGGAATCCTGGGCGGACGACATTACCGACCGACTACCACCACTACCCGACGTACCATCCACGCTGGATCCTCGGTCACACTGGCCACGGGGAGCTCCGACCAAGGACGGTGATCCCGTCCACCAATTCCCAGGTGGGTCCACCGACATCGCCTCCTTCCTGGCAGACCTCGAGCAGCCTCGGCGCCGACCATCCGACGACGCCACCACCACGGCCCACGACGACCACCCCCTCGCAGATGCCCCCCCGGAAATTGGCGACCCACCAGAGTTCGACCCCATCGACGACGAGACCTTCATGCGTCTCACACGCAACTGGGGATCTGACGTCCGCAATACGCTGCCCGGAGGCTGTCCCCCAGCCCCTCCCCTCAACCCCCAACAGCGTGCCTTCGCAAGACAGTATTTGGCACTGCAGCGCCACCTCGCTGACGGCCGCCAACGCGGTGACGACCCCCGCGACACGCTCGCAACTCTTCGGCAGCAAGGGGTCCGGCAAGTGCATCTGCTCCAAGGAACGGAGGGTTCCAAAGGAAGTTTCGGGGGGGCAGGTTTCCCACCAAGGGCCCCCAAAGAGCTCGGCAAGCCCATCTTGGCGACGTTGAGAAGCCCATGGGGTGCTCCGTGGAAAACCCTCTCCCCGACACAACCCTTTGGGGCCCTCCATAAGGAGCTGGGGGTGTTGGAAAGAACGTGCCCCCGCAGGCGATGCGCGCCGTTCTACGCCGCCTGCGCTTGGGGCGCATGGCCATCGCAGCCTGGGCGGGGGTAGCCTCTGCTCCTTTTGGGGCGCCGACGTTATGTTCTTTGCTGAAAAATCGACTTCGCATGCCTGGCTTCAGACCGCCCCGTCGACGCTGACACGTTGCAGCTCCTCCGCAAGTGCTTCGCCGACGCCGCGTGCGACCCGGTCGATCTGCTCGTCTTCGTCGTCGACGAGGCCAGCTTTCTCGTCCCAGCAGCCTTGCATCACATCGACCTTCAACTGCAACGATTGCGCGGTGTCCACGGCGTCCATTTTCGGAGGTGTCGCCCTCATCCTGGCAGGTGGCTTTTGGCAGAAACCGCCTCCGAGCTGCGCGACGATGGCAGAGCTCCTCGCCAGCGCTGACGCGCAGGCCTATCGAAGCCAGCCCCGCGCAACCCCATGAGCACATCAGAAAAAGGCCTCGACATATTCCGACGAGTTCGCCGCACTGTTCTGACGCAGCAGATGCGAGTGCCGACGACTCTGGTTTCCAGACGGATCTACTGCAGCTCCGGGACACGACCCCGGGCGCCTCGGTCCCAGCGAGGTTGACAGACTCGCTCTGCAAGGTTTCCCCCGCGACATCCAGACGCATCCTGCGCGGCCTTTCGCCCCCATCTGCGCCCTGTCCAACTTCGAGCGGCGCGTTCTCAACAGGGTCCAGGCCGAACGCTTTGCCAAGACGCGCTCGCTACCCCTAGTCCGACGGCGATGCCTCTTGCACGGACGCCACTGCTCTATGTTATCAGCTGATGCCCAAGACGGCCTTTGCCAGAACGAGCCTGGCATGCGGGGATGCTTCGTGCGCGGGGCCCCAGCCATGCTGCTTGCCAACACCCAGCCCACCAAACTTTGCGTCGAAGGGGCCATGGGTTTCCTACACTCTCTCAGCTTCGACGGCGATGCACCGGGAGTTTTCTTAGACGCTGTTGCGTCGGGCGGATTCCGGGAAATTATCCTCGAGGAGCCGCCTGCTTCTATCAACGTCCAGATCTCCTTGCCCGCTGACGAAGACGGCGCTGGGATCGAGACCCGTGTTCCCGGGTCCGTGGTCGTTCCCATCGCGCACAGCTCCCGCGTCGAGGACTACGACGCCACCTCGCTGTTCAGCATCCTCAAACGAGCGCCCAAGCGCATCCGCATACGGTGCCACGCGGCTGCTCTGGCCTTCGCTTGCACGGATTATAAACTACAAGGCAAAACGTGTAACGAGTTGGTTCTCAGCGTGGCCAAGCGACCTTGGCCGCCGCATTTGGACAGACAAGGCGTCTACGTCGCCGTCAGCAGGGTGCGCGCCAAGGCTCGCGCACGGGCGCTTCACCGACCGTCTTCCGAAGCCGGGAGACTGTGCCACTTGCGGAATTTGCCGCCTGCTCGAGAACTTCACGCTTGGAACGCCGGGTACGACGCGGCTGGAGATTGGCGGCCCCCCCTCGCCCACGCGGCGGCGTCTGGCGCACCATCTACCCGACGACCTCGACCACGCGCCCCTGCGCGGGCACCGCGTCCGCGACCAATGGCGGGAGAGGCATGCTTGGCACGCGTGCCCGCGCGCCAGTGAAGGGCCTTCCACGTCGAAGCCGCCGCCTTCACGCGCGCCAGCAGTTTCGCCGCGCTGTCCTTGCATTACTTGCAAGTGGCCACTGTGCTGCCAATTCGACGCCTTCTACCTTAAGAGCTTTGGGCTGGCACGACCCACCGCATTGCACGAACAAGCGATGCATGACATTTCGGCCACCGCCATCTTGAGCATGAGGAATGCTTTGTTCCCCCTTGCCAACAGTTGCCCCGTCGACCACCTAGCCTGGCAGCATCTCCAGACAAGCCCCCTGGTCCCGAAGGTACTTAGGCGCGCGACGCGTCATAGTGATTCAGAGGCAGCCGCCTGCTTACCAGACTTTCGCTCAGAAATTTGTTTTTTCGAACCCAAAGTCGGCTTCTGTGCTCGCCCCCTTCGATTTCCCACCGCGCGTCACTCTTGCCGACCTTTCTTCTCCTTGCCTCAGCATCAGACTTCTTCCGTGAGATTTGATTGCCCCTCAACCGTTGATCTCGCCCAACCCTCGCTCTCAGATTGACCCTGCCATGGCGGTTAAGCTCGAGGCAGTGAACGACCGCAACTGCGGTGCCAAGAGCATGCACGTGCGAGCGTTCGACCCGATGGTTCGCAAGACTAAGAGGGACTGCGAGGTATTCACCTGCAAGTTGGCCAGCGAGAGTGGCCTCTATATTGCGCAGCCGAACAGATGATCTTCGGGGACGCGCCGGCGGCGCGCACGAGAGTCAGCACAGCACTGACGACTAAGTTGACCTCGAACTCCGCGCGGCCCCTCTCCAAGCTGAAGACGGCGCGCAAGAAGACGGCCTTCCGCGGGGGCCCGCGCTCATGCGCCCTTCAGCTGAACAACAGGGCCATGACCGCGAAAGCATTGGACCCGCCGGAGGCCAACAAGCTGCCGGACGAGCTGGGCCCCCCCGCGGGAGTCCAGGACGTCCTCGACCTTTCGGAGGACCAGGCGATCGACCTCCACGGGTTCGTCTCTGACATTTCCCCTGAAGCCCAAAACAAAGGCAATAACTTGGCAAGGGCCGCAATCTGCAACGAGGCCGGCGGCAGCATCGCGCTGTTTTTTTTTTTTGGGGGGGGGGGGCCGCCGCCCTCGCAGAGAAGTTGCAGGAGAAAGAGCCCATCTACATCTACGGGGCGCACTTGGCCCACCCCGACAATGGCGGCGTGCACCTGGCAGTCCGGGAGCCCACCTCCTTCGCCGCGCCTGCAGGCGCGCGCCCCAAGATAGCGCCCATGCTCGCCGGCGGCGCGCGACCTCGCCAGCGACCAGCTGCAAATCTCGTCCGTCTCTGAGACCACGGACTGCAAGGCGAGGCCCGCCGTCGCCCCCCTATCCTCTGCCCAGCCCTCGCGCAATCCCACGCCCACCCCGCAGAGCGAATCCCCGCTGATGCACCCCGCCCCCCTTTCCAGGATTTGGCACCAGAAATTCAAATTTCCCCACCAAGCTCCGGTCCCGGCCCACCGGCCGTCGGGGGCCCCTCTCCGCCCCACGTTTTCTACGGGGCATGGCGCTCTCACCTCGCAGATCCCGCCCCCGCGCTTTTGCCGCCTAGGTCGGGCCCGCCGCCAGCTCCAACTCGGCCGTCCTGGACGCCGTCCTCCAGAGCGAGACGACGCCGCCCGAGCCATTGTTCGAGATCCCAACGGCGTCTTTCCCCCTCAGCGACACAGAGACGCCCCTGACGAAAGATGGGGGCCGCATCTGGGCATCCGTGCGCACGGTCGACTACGCTGGGTCCGTGGAAGCCAAGGTCACAGAGAAGGCCGCCCTCGCTTTGACCAGGTGCGCCGACGAGGCGGAATTTCAGGCCGACGTTGAGCAGGGGTCCTTGACGCGGTCCCGGGCGCGCGTTCGGGCCACGCTCCGCGCCCCGCTGAGCGCGGATGGCGGCCAGAAAACCACGGGCCCTCGCCTGGCCATCGCGCGCGCGGAACCCCGCAACTTCGACGCTGTCGCCCCGCTGGCCGCCCCGCACAGCGACAGCCGCGTTGCCCCCGCCAGCGCCCGCAGCGTCTCCCCGAGCACCGCCGGGAAGCTCACCATCGCCATCGGATCGGCGCGCTTCCCTGCGAGCGGCGCGCTCCTCTTGGTAGAAGCCACGAAGGGCCCAGACGCCGTTTCGCGCGAGGGCGGCTTCGCCATCGCCAACTACATCGTGGGCGCGGCGGAGAGCGACTCCGACCAGAAAGCCGCCTTCCGCGCTGTTACTGCCTGCTCTGCGAAACGCCTGGGCCGCCACGCTTTAACGAAGAAGGACCACTCATTATGGTAACCCACTTCGACGCAGCGGAGTCCGAGTTTACCGTGGGCGACATGTGGAAATTGCCGCACGGCATCGCGCCCGACGCGTTCAAGGCCGAAATTGCTACTGCCGGTGAGACTCTGACCACGCGCCTCGCGCGCGCCAAGCGCAAGTCCGACCCCAAGGCCGACGACAACTTTGACGAGTTCTTCGGACCCGCAGTCAAGCGCGCCCACTTGGCGCTCGGCGACCCCGCCGCGCCCGCGGAGCGAGGCAACCTCCAGCGCAGCTTTCGCGCGCGCGTGGCGGCTGATCTGGGCCCCCATCCCTCGAATTCGATGCCGACTCTTCCTGCGGACCCATGGGGCCCCGTCCTCCGTCTACCGCCGGCGCAACGGCCCCCGTCCTCCGTCCGCCTTGCGCCGCACTTTGCGAGCCCTTAGGAAGCCGCATCCCCACCGACGCCCGCGCCCTTTCCACAGTTCTGATCCGACAACCAGAACTTCTCCGCCAAAGTCCGGCCCCAGCTCGCTGCCCGTCAGAATCCGCCAGCGGCCCCCCTAGATTTATATGAGAAGATCTCCATTGAATCCGCCAGCGGCCAACTTCTTCCGATGGATGGGTGCCATGACCAGGCTGTGCCAGCTCCCAGATATCATCTCTCCCTCTACGTTCCCTCAGCCCCATCGCCTTCGGCCGCGCGCGCGCCTCCAGTCATGAGCAGCACCCCCCCCCCCCCCGGCGGCCCCGAGACGGGGCCAGCGGTGCTCGGGGGGCGCCCATGCAGAACAGGGGCTGCGACGATCCTGTGAGTTCTTGCTGTCTTGCCTGCCGGGGGGGAGGTAGGTCCGGTTGTCGCTCCATGGTTCCCGACTAACATTTAGTTAAGCGAATGGATACTTCTGGCCACAAGCGATGCCCTTATATTGCGCGGTGATGAAGGGGGGTGGCATGCGCGCGCCCATCCTCGTGAGTTGGTCTCGCAAGGAGGAGGGGGGCGAGAAGGAGGGGGAGGGGGGGGGGGGTGGGGGGCCGGCAAGCTAGGTGCGCTCGCGTCATATCTGACGTCCTACCCCTCCCTCCCATCCCTTACCATGGCGCTGATTTTCTCTATCCGCGGACGCGTGTCGTAGCGGACTTGTGGCTCCGCGCGCGCGTGCGTAGTGGGTGGTGGTGCGCGTGCGTGCGTGCGTGCGTGTGTGCGTGTGTGGTGGTGGTGGTGGTGGTGGTGGTGGTGGTGTGGGATGGGTGTGTGGTGGTGGGTGGTGGTGGTGGTGGTGGTGGTGGTGGTGGTGGTGGTGGTGGTGCGGCGCGGTGGTGGCGGGCGGATGGGCGCGCGAGAAAGAGGCCCGCGCTGGGGCGAGAACGCCATCCTGAACGACGGAGGCCAAACACCGATCCGAAAATGAAGCCCACGCTGCAGCGGGAGCACGATTCGGAACGATTCGGGAGCAGAAATGAGGCCGGCGCCTCAGCGAGAGCAGCATTGAAAAAAAAACAAGCGAAATTTCCCGGGAATCCTGTGTGTAAAAAACAATACGCGGGGGGGTGTCGGATATCTTCGGGGCGCCATCAGGGGAAGTGGGAGAGTATTTTCATATTGTGTAATTGTAAAGGGAGGAAAAGAAGGAGAGAAGAGAGGGGGGGGCGGGGGGAGGGAGGGAGGAAAGGAGGAAGCTGGAAGCGGAGGAGGAGGCGGAGGAGATGGAGGAAGAGATGACGGAGGAGGAGGAGGAGGAGGAGGAGAGGAGGAGGAGTGGGGAGGAGGAAGAGAAGGGGGAGGAGAGGAGGAGCCGGGGAAGAGAGTGGGAGGAGGAGGAGGAGGAGGAGGAGGAAACAGAGGAAAAGGAGGAGGAAGAGGAAGGCAGGAGGAGGCTTGCAGAAAACTGTGCACGTTGGTGCCTCGCGGTTGCTGCCACTTGCGCCTTGACCTTCCACGCGCCCAAGGCCCCTCCCGCGCCGTCTTGGCGCCGTCTTGGAGACGCGTCATTCTTAAACCGTCCTCAGTTGGTGGAAGCTCGAAAAATCGAGGATGGGGAAGGACTTCCGCCCTCTCCTCCTCCTCCTCCTCCTCCTCCTACTCCTCCTTCTCCTGTTTCCTCTGCCACCTCCTCCTCCTTCGTCTCCTCCTCCTCCTCCTCCTCCTTCCTCCCTCCCTCCTCTCCCTCCTCCTCCTCCTCCTCCTCGTCCTCCTCTTCCTCCTTCTCTTCATCCTCCTCCTTCTTCCATCCCCTCCTCCTTTCATCTCCTCGCCCGCGTCCTCCTCCTCCGTCCTCCATCATCCATTCTCCATTCTCCACGCCCCATCCTCGTCCTCCCCCCCCTCTTCCTCCTCCTCCTCCTTTTTCCAAGTCCATTCCTTCCCGGGGCCCGCGCATGCATAAAAAAGTTTGGGCATTCCGCGGGCTACACTTGCGCGGGGGTGTCCGGGCTTTCCCAAAGCGTCCGGGAGTAATGGTCTGAGCGCCCGTTGTGGGGAAGCGCACCTCAGTAGTTTTCAAGGTTCAGGCCGCTGCCTCAGAGGGATAAGGTCCTAAATATCGCTCGGTTTCACTGGCCGCGCCCATGCGCCGCCGAGCCCTTCGCGAATTCTGGATCCGCTTCTGGTGCATCCGGCTGGCCACTCAAGCATTACGAGACCTAAGAGTCATCCAGCCCATCCCATTGGACATCCGCCCGTCAGAACTCATCATCGATAATGATTCTGTCCGCGACGACTTGTCGTTGCCACCCAAGGAAAACTTGAGCTCTAATATATAATAGCCTTCGGCCTATCCCGCCACCATGCCTGGGTTGTACGTCTCGCGCCTCTTGAGTCATCGTTGGGGTCTCGTGGTGCGCCTCTCGCGGGCCACTGGGAAGCAGTTTCGAAACCTGTTGGCGGCCATTTGGGTGCCTCTTGAATATTTTGGGCCCTCTTGGAAGCTTCTTGGGACCAGAAGGGGCCTCTTGGGGGCGCCTTGAGGCCCCTTGGAAACCTCTGGCGGCCTCCTGGGGCCCCCTCGGAGCGAAAAGCTAGGTTTTTGAACTATTGGTTACCATCTTGGACCCCTCTTGGAGCCTTCTCGCGCCGTCTTGACAGCCTGTTGGGCCGTCATGGGGCCATCTTGGGAGCCTCTTGGGCCATCTGGGGCCGATCTTTGGGGCCTCTTCGGCCGTCATGGAGCGCCGGGAAGCCGAACAAGTCGAGAAGGTAAAGCACATCGAAACACACGCGCACTAGGAAATCAACGATTTTAGCCTCTCGGAGCCCTCTTCGGAATCTTGTGGAGGCCTCTTGGAGGCCTCTTGGGGCGTCTTCGAGGCCTCTTCACCCGTCTGAGGGCCGTCTGGAGCGTATTGGAGCGCTCTTCGGGCGTCTCGGGACCGACCAAATATGTATCCCGCGTTCGCCTCGCTTCGCCCTGCCGTGGGCCAGCGGTTTTCGGTGACGCCGGGAGCGCGCATGCGCGGGCGCGACGCCACAGACGCACCGGGCCAGTCCGTATCCGCGCGCTTCCGAGCAGTTTTGTCTCCACGGACGTCATATACAACCAAAGGCTTTCCCAGCCAAACACGCCCCCGCCGCCCCGCAACAGTCTTCCTTCCGATCCGCCGCGTTTGGGCCGCACCCCGCACACTTGCTCCCATCCAGCAAATCATGCAAAGGCGTTAACTGCCCACCTGAAGCTCCTGGAATCTGCGCTTCGGGCTCCCGCTTCTGATTACAACGCATACGGCAACGTGCGCACCGCGCAGCGCCTCCAGGGGAAACTGATGTCACATTTCACAGCAGTAAAAAGCGGGTTGGACAGGCACGAGAAGACGACCCGTGCCCAACGGGCGATCCTTCGCCAAATTCCGCCCGGCAAGGTATTCACGACAAGCTTGCTCTTGGAATTTGCATTCAGCCTGTTGGCGTTGCGATGCATCTGGACACATCGCGCGCCCATCGAGGAGGCGCAGGGCGTCGCGAGCAAACTGAAAGTGTTCTTGCGCGCCGTCGGGGCTGACGGCCATCAGCCATTCACGAAACAAGCGGCTTGCGCCGCTCCGCCGACCTCTGCATGAGAAGGCATACCGGAGCCAACGACCAAATGCAAAGGGAGGAGAAAGGAGGACGAAGAGGAGGAGAACAACGACGACAACGACAAAGACGACGAGAAGAAAAACCATATTTAGGAGGAGGCGACGGCGACGACGCGTTATGGGCCCCCCAGGAGGAGGAACAATATCGAAGAAAGGCCAATGATATAACGCGTTATCTCGCTCCCGCCAACCGGAGCCCGGCGGATTCTGAGCTCAGCTTTTAACCCTTGGAAAAAAGAGTGAGCCCGCATTCGGCACCTGACTGTTCCTCAGCAGAGATCCGCCCTCCACCGCTGCGCTGTGGGTTCCGCTTCGCTCGGGGGAGCCATCCGCCTGCCTCCGGCAACTTGCCGCCGCCTCCGCGTCCTCCTCCTCCTCCTCCTCCTCATCCTCCTCCTCCTCCTCTTCCTCCACCTCCTCCTCCCCTTATCCTCGCACTCCTCCTCCAGTTTTCCCTCGTTCCCTTCCTCGTGCTGCAGCTGCTGCTGTTGCCGCTCCTCCTCCTCCTCCTCATCTTTCTCCTCCTCCTCCTCCTCCTCCTCCTCCTATCTTCAGGTTCTCCTCGTCTTCCCCCTTCCACCCCTGCTTTTCCTCCTCCTCCTCCTCCTCCTCTTCCTCCTCTTCCTCCTCCCTCCTCCTCCTCCTCCTCCTCCTCCCCGCCCTCCTTCCTCCTCTCTCCTCCTCCTCCTCCTCCTCCTCCTCCTCCTCCTCCTCCTCCTCCTCCTCCAGGTTATTATATTTCTCCTCCAGTCGCTGCTGCTGTTGCTGCTGCCGCTGCTGCTAGCGCTGCCGCTGCTGCTGCTCCTCCTCCTCCTCCTTCCACCCCTGCTGTCCCACCTCCTCCTCCTCCTCCTCCTCCTCCTCGTCCTCCCCCTCCGACTACAACCACTACTACTACTACTACAACAACAACATGTACTACTACTACTACTACTACTACTACTACTACTACTACTACTACTACTACTACTAGTACGACTACTACTACTATTACTACTACTACTACTACTACTACTACTACTACTACTGCTAGTACTACTACTACTACTGCTAGTACTAGTATTAGTACTATTACTAGTACTAGTACTAGTACTAGTAGTACTAGTACTAGTACTAGTACTAGTACTAGTACTAGTACTACTACTACTACTACTACTACTACGACTACGACTACTACGACTACACTACGACTACGACTACGACTACTACTACGAACGACTACACTACG